TACAGGAAGTTACTAGAATGCCCCTGATTAGTGATGGGACACCCAGACAACTTAAAACATTAAACAGGATTAGGTCCATTAATAAAGGCCCAGTACAGGACAACTTAAACTTAAGTATAGGCTAATAAGAACTCTTATCAGCCGAATACTCATACATACAAAGACTTCAATCCAACATATGTTTCTCTGAATGTCCACGTAATGTCAATGGGCAGTATTTGATAACAGACTGCAATATAAAATTCACTTGTCTGTCTACATTTCTGTACATGGCAGATATCCAGGTGGATGTAGTTGATGCATTGACCCCCACTTAGGGAATATCAATAATTAGATCAACTTGGTATTCCTGTCTTGATGGACTCCACATCTTTAAGGAATGTCTATCAGAAGGTCCTGTTATGAAATACCAATAATTTAAGTCCTAATTGACCCATTTTGGGGTTTGGAGAGTATCTTCTGTGCTTCTGGAGGTTCTATACCATTTACATGCATGTATTTTTGGTCCAAGCAGAAATGACAAATGTATGCAGCACTGCAGCTTAATCTACTCATCTTAGATATTTATCTTATCTGCAAATCTAAGGAACATATGTTTCTTGACTAAACAGATAACTTATTCTGCTTCTTTGTTTTTTATTTATTTGAACCAAAAGAATGAAGCTTTTTTTATATATACAGGCATATGTTGATTCAAGTGTTATAATGGGTCAAACTGGTCAGTTCCAAAAGGATGTTGAGAAATATCGTAACATCGAGTATATGAGATGCAGTCCTGAGAATGGCTTCTTTCCGAATTTATCAACTGTTCGGCCAACAGATGTTATCTTTTTCTGTTCACCAAACAATCCTACTGGTTCCGCTGCAACAAGAGAGCAGTTGATACGGCTGGTACAATTTGCCAAGGAAAATGGATCTATCATAGTCTATGACTCTGCATATGCCATGTACATATCAGATGACAGACCTCGGTCTATATTTGAAATTCCTGGAGCAAAAGAGGTAAGGATGAAAATGATTAGTTGAAACCCTCCCAACTGGATCAACTCCTTGGGTTCTTTTTTTCCCATTTCAATTTTATGTTTATCCATCCCATTTACTACAAAAGACCAATCCTAAAGCTGTTTGACAAGGCTAACTTCACTAATTAAAACATTGCATTACCTTGAATGTTAGAGATTAAAATTGAGTCTGGTTTACATAATTGTATGACACTATGACGTGACCAATTACCTGCTTTATATGCTGTAGAGTGGACATATATCAATGTAATGATTAGTCTCATTACGAGGAGTCACCTATACTGAACACTTCCACAGTTACATGTCTTTGCGAGAAAGAACTCTGCTATTAGTGGACATATATAGTTAGAACATAATTCTTATGTTGTATAAACATGGGACACAGGCTTTTAATGTTGAACCTGGTCATAGGAGCTCCAGCAGTACCGTAGTAGTCCATTAAGTATCTTTTCATGTGCATAGGGTTCCTATAATGTAAATATATTTTGGTTTTATTACTGTGGGAGGGAAAAAGAGCTTTGTGCATTGTAAATGCCTCAGTTAAAAGATATGTTTTTCCTCTTTGTCAACCACAACCTATGTGGCTGCAGCCCACCACTTGTGGAAAATGCAAAGTTAATAAATTTAAACATAATCCTAACTCTACGTTTTTCTGTTGGACCATTTCTTTTATGTCTAATGAATTTTATCTTGTATGTATTATGTGAAGAAAAAGAAAAATATAATGGAATTGTGCCAACCTTAATTTTTTTTCTCAACAAGCATGCCAATAATGTTCTGACAATTCTAAGTAGTGGAGTGGTTGGGACTATAAGGGTCTTCCTATTGGGTCCTATTCTGGCCTAAGACATTCTTGTTGGCAGGATTAACCAATCAGTGAGTCCATGCTCCTCTGCATGTGATTCTATTTGCGTATAATGGGTAGGGAGGAAATTTTCTCCCTGCGCTTCCCACCTGATGCAACTATATATATACATCATTCATATGTGTCTAACATGTTAAGATATTTGTTGCAGGTTGCTATAGAGACGGTATCATTCTCAAAATATGCTGGGTTTACTGGAGTCCGACTTGGTTGGACTGTGGTTCCCAAAGAGCTTCTTTTCTCTGATGGGTTTCCTGTTGCCAAGGATTTCAACCGTATTGTCTGTACATGTTTCAATGGAGCATCTAACATTTCTCAAACTGGTGGACTGGCTTGTCTTTCTCCAGAGGGTATCAAAGTTAGCTTCCATGGTATTAGTTTCTACTTTCTAGTTAACGTACAGAACTATCTCCTATAGTTCTTAACTGATTGCTAAATCCTGCAGGCAATGCATGATGTGGTTAGTTTTTACAAGGAGAACACTAAGATAATAATGGACACCTTCAACTCCCTTGGTTTTAAGGTGCAAGGAGGGGAACATGCACCTTATGTGTGGGTCCACTTCCCTGGTCGAAGCTCATGGGATGTATTTGCCGAGATTCTTGAGAAGATCCACTTAGTTACAACTCCAGGTAGTGGGTTTGGACCTGGTGGCGAAGGTTTCATCAGGGTTAGCGCCTTTGGTCACAGAGGCAACGTCTTAGAGGCCTGTAAAAGGTTAAAACAACTTTACAATTAAGCCAAGGCATTCCTTCATCTGGTGGTTTTCAACAATCTATTTATCTGCCTAATTGATAGCTTGAGACCTCTGCAACATCTTAAAGCTTGGCCTTTGTTGTGGTCAGCAGATCCAGACTCGATTCATCCTTTTTCCAATGGAGGATTAATGCTCCAGTTCATTTAACTTACACTAATTGAATTATTACACCTTGACTCATAAGTCAAAAACTGAAAGTAGGAGTCAAAAGCTATGTACCAGAACTTGAATGATACATGTTGGTGTCAAAGCCTGGAATCCTCACATTCACATGGCCTGAGCAAAAGAATGAATAGCCTACTATCATGTGGTTAATGCACAGTTGAAAAGTCCATGGAATAGAGACGATGGTGAATACTTCTATTTTATGTGTAAAGTAAGTTAGGTGATGTTTGGCATGGATGCTGATTTCAACAAAAATCAGTGCCATGTTGGATCCATATCAGAAATTGAAGTATCAGTGGTCTTTTTCCTTGTTTGGTTGGCCGATTATGCCGATTTCTGGGAAATCAGCAGAAAATCGATCCATGAAATCGGATTGGGTGAGGGATCACTACATTTGCTGATTCCCTGATTTTCAGGTGATTCCGATTTTTGTTGGGTGAGGTGGCATCCTATGTGGTAGGGGCAAGAAGGTGGTCTAGTGCCCAGTGCCTCAACGAAAAATAATCACTCTTGAAAATCAATACCAAACAATCTTAAAAGTGATTTCTAAAAAATTGGTTGACATGGAGGAAATGATACCAAATAACAAAAAGAGCAATTTTTGGGAAATCACTAAATTCAATGATCATCGATATTAAAAAAATCAGGTATGAGGAATTATCATCGATGCCAAACATCACCTTAGTTAAAAGATAGAGAAACTCGATCTGTTGAAAGTAAAAGTGTGTGAATACATTAAAAGCATCGCCCATATGGGGGTACAACAGCCTGAAAATTTACACGGGTTGTGCTTTGATTTTCGGTCATTGAGATGGGTTTGGGTTAAGAAATCAGGCTTTTTTATTTTTTGGACCGGGCCCGCGCCTAGATGTAGGTAGCCCGAAAATTATACATATATATATATATATACATACATACATATATATATATATATATGTTAATTTTGCATCTCTCTCTCACTATCTATCTATCTATCTCTTTCTCTCTCTCTCTCTCTCTCTATATATACGTGTGTGTGTGTATGTGTTTGTGTGCAAAATTTTAGAATGAATTCATTGATCAACCCAAGCCCAATCCAAATGCATCAAATTATAGTACAGGCTGAATTCGGGTTGAAAAAATCAAACTTGACCTCAGGCTCGGACCTTAAGCCCAAATCGGATGCTTCATCTCAGCGTGGTTGCATGCTTTTGGGTTTCAGGAACATTTCCTATTTCCTGACTGTTTGGAGCGGCTTTCAATTCATTTCCCCATGAACTAGGATATCATTAGGTGGGGTTAGGTTGCATGTAAACTAAAAAAAAATGATTTTTTTTTTAAATCATGTTTAATAGGAAAAATTGATTGGTTTAATGTTAAAATCTCAGGCAGAAAAAAGTTAAAGTTTGAAAATGACCAGTTGATCACTGTTATGAAGGGAAAAAAAAATTAGGTCCATATCGAATTCAACCCTCCTCGCTGGAGCAACTTTAAATGATGAACCATTTTCTGCAAATGTGAAAAGTGATTTTGTTACAGGTTGAAGGGTCCAAAGGGCTGGGGCAGACCAAAAAGCACATGGGTTGAAATACACAAAAATGATTCAAGGGCCTGTATTGTTAACAATGGGTATGCCACGAGAAGATGTAGGAGGTAAATCAAACCACACCTCCAGACCTCCTGACCATCACTAGATCACATGACATTAGGTAAGTTGTGTCATTAAATCGTAACAAACTTCAAGTAAACAGGTCCAAAAGAGCTACAGTTTTCCTTAATTTTATCTTAAATGTTGAGGCTTTTTGATGTTACATAACGGGACTTGTGGGATAGGGACAGAGCATGATGCACGTGAGTGAGGTTCACTGACCTTACCACATGAGTTTGGCTTCGTCAGGGCAACGCCCATTCGATCAGTCTTTACAGTCTTGCATTGGGAATATCTCTGTACTTACGTGTTTTATTTTATAGGGAGATATTCCTGGTGCAAGGTTGCAAGAGGTTATTGGCACAATGTGAACATAGGCTTGCCTTGACCGAAGCTGATCTCTTACCACATAGAGCCTACAGTTATGCGGGTTTGATCCTGTGCCTTTTCTTTTCTTCTTTGAGTATGCTAGGCCACCATTTGAACAATTCACCAATTGGATCATCTGCACAAAAATGTGGAGACACTGCCATGAAACCGCACCACCCAGGAGTGCTGATAAAACCAATGTTTTAAAAACTGAATCGGAGCTGAAACCGTTTTGGGGACCAGTTTCCAGGTCAAATGGTTTGACTATCCGGTTCGAATGGATGACCCATTTTGATTAAAAAAATAAAAAAATAATTAAAATAAAAAAGACAAAAAATTGTTGTCTGGGTCGATAATTCAATGGTTCAACCACCTAGGTTAGTGGGTCACTAACAAACCAACGTTTTTTGGCCCAGGAGTGGTTTTAGGGTGAAATGGAACCGGTTGCCTAACCAATTTATGGGTTAACCGGTCCGATCATCTAGTCCAGTCCGATTTTCAAAACCATGGATATAACCACTATGAATCAGATCATATCATGATAGGACTCCATCCCTTTTCTTTGGCACACAAAACAACTTTGAAAATCTTTTCCACGAAAAAAAAAATAAACAATACCCATAGTTCCCAACTTAGGTCTTGGTAATGCCATCACAATTTATATCTATACTATTATTAAAAGTAGGAATGAAGGTGTGGAACTTTTTTCGACTAAAATGCCCATATTTGTGTATTTAGTCTATTTCTAATTATGAGGGTTAAAAATGTAATTTCAATTATTGTTTTTCACTTCATTTAATCCTCTCTCGTTAAGTCTTACATTTAATGTATTAACTCTCATTCTATATTTAAGTTATTTTTTACTAATAAATGCTAGCAATTATATCTATGTCCAATAATTTTAACAATATAAAACTATATATTTTAAAACTTACTTAAAAACAAACTCATTCTTTATCCAAGTGATGACTAATCAATTCAACCACCAGAATCAAATTGGTCAACCCATGAAGTCATAGTTAGATAATAAAATTTTTAAATAAAAATAAATATAGAAAATTGCAAAATTGTAGATTGATGATGAAAATGATATACACAATTTGAAACTAACCAAAAAGGAAATTATTTTCCTGTTTGACAAAGATCAATAATTCAACTTTTGGGTCAAAATGTGTTAGCCTTTAATGTCATAATTAAATAATAAAATTTAATTAAATATAAAAACACAAAAATAAAAAAAAATAATAAATTTTACAAAAAAAAAACATTTGGCACATGTACAATATCATATATTTATCATATTAAACAAAAAGTTTATTTTTACACATAGAAATAAAATATTATAGAAAAAATTGAACACATCTATAGTTCTATATTTACACTACTAATAGAAATATGAATAAAATTATGGAACTTTCTTTTGACTAAAATACCCATTTTTTGAATTTAATCTCTTTTTAATTATGAGGTTTAAAATGTATTTGAAGTACTACTTTTCACCTCATTCAATTCCCTTTCTTTAAATCTTGCATCTTTTTATAAATGAACAAAAAAAAGAGATACACTAAGAAGATAAAACATTACAAAAAGAAGAATCCAGCCAAGTAGGCTTATCAATGATACCCGAAACTTTACAGCCCAATATAAGGTGTTTACATAATCAGATTTGGATTTTGCAATTTGCATCCAATTAATAATAAAAAAACAAAAAATTAAAAAGTACATGAATTTTATCAAAAATTTTGGATACATTATCATTATCATCAGCTAGAATTGCCATTGCAAAGCATGTATATACTTACTAGTGGATATAATATCCATCGATCCTAGGTCTTTGAAATTTGAATAACCTCTCTTTGTTGTTCCTTTGGAAGAGTGTTTGTAAATTTGAGCAATTCATTAACTTTACTTGGTTTGTAGTTTTGAACAATCCAATTTGACCTCCAAATTATCAAGTAGGATTCCTCTAGAGTTAAGTTGAGGCCTAAGGGAAATGAATACCATTCTCATACTTTTATGCTATTAGGGAGGCTAACCAGCTTGCAGATTATTTAGTCAATAAAAGGATCATCAGTTAAAATGATGTGGTAGAAGACGTCTAAATTTAAGGGTAAAATACAAAAACCTCCCCTGAAGTTTCTAACAATCATAAAAACCTCCCTTGTAGTTTAATTTTAACAAATACCTCCCTAAACTTTTGAAAAAATCAACAGAAACCTCCCTTCTATCACTAATCCATATGGAAAACGTATAGAGTTACAAAATTACCCCTGACTAATTCTCGGGACATCATTGAAAATATATTAAAATTCAAAAAATGCTCTCATTCGATTAACATCACTCTTGCGATTTTATGAGTTTTTTTAGAGCAAAAGAATAGAGTTTAAACCCTAACACCACTAAACACTTACATGACACCATCATTCAAAATATTCTATTCACCTAAGAATATTTCCCATTTTCTGGAAATTGTTCTTAACTAGCCACTATTCTTTACCGGCAATTGTTCTTCACCAGCAGTTGTTCTTCATTGTCTGCAATATCTACTTCCCCCTCGAGCAATTTCTCAGTAGAGCTTTTTTTTTCGTTTCTCTTGCTATGAGGATTACATTTCACAAATAGATGTGAGTTTTCTCACCAATACCACATGGAAAAATAAATGAGGCTCTCAAGGACAAGAAATCAATTTCTCTTCTGTGCTGTAATTTGTTGACGTTTTCTTTTGAAGGTGTTACTAACACCTTTGGTGGCTTGCAAGTTGAGTAACCAACAACCAATCGATAAGAAATTGGGGACCAAATAGAGTTATGCTTCATCGAATCCAAAAACGAGAAATAATAAAAGCACAAGTTCATTGAAGCCCACAAAAACCAAATCAGAGATTCAATAAATGACATTTTGTATGACCCAAAATGAGAAAAGAAGATGCATTCAATAGTGTCCATAAATACATACAACCCAAAAGCAAAACAGGGGGAAAAGTTGAATAGTGTAATGTAACAATTAGTTTTATTTCTGATATGCAATCAAAACCAAGAATTCATCATTTGGCATTTCCGCTATAAAACCAGTATCGTAAATCCAAGATGTGATTAAAAGATTAGGTGGCCTTTAAGTTGATTAACACACTTCTCAGCCAACCTTCCGGTGAAGAACAATCACTTGCATCAGTTCACCTTCTAATCTATGGCTAAAGTTCAAATTTTATCTGCGTTTTCCTATGCATAAACCAAAAACGTTGCCTCACTTCTCCACCCGGCAATCTCTGGTGGTCAAATGTTGTTTCCCTTCTTGACTGGAGTAAGTTTCAGGGCTGAAAGAGTTAACGGTGTAGAATGGGTATTTGAAAAAAACTTATGTATTGGTCTAACCTTTTTTGTCTGGGTTAGTGAGGAAAGGGTTATTTCTGTTGATTTTTTAAAAGTTCAAGGGAAGTGTTTGTTAAAATAAAACTAGAGGAGAGGTTTTTATGATTGTGAGAAACTTCGGGGGAGGTTTTTTTATTTTACCCTAAGGCTCCGTTTGGTTTGTGGGAAGATTTGGGTGGGATGGGATGGGAAAGTGTAAAAACTTTACTTTCCAGTGTTTGGTTTTATATATGGGAAAATAATAGGAAAGCATTGTCACGACTAGTTCTTCGCCGGATTCATGTAAGATGAAGAAGAAGAAGAAGAAGGGGAGGGAGGAAGACGGGAAGAATAGGAAGAAGAAGAAGGTGAGGGAAAAGAGAGAAGAGGAAGATGGAGGGAGAGACAGAGAACGAGGAAGGTAATAGATCGCCGCTGCCCCTCGCACTGGTTCTCTTGCCACCGCCGCCTCCTCTATTCAAACGGGGAAGGCAATGAACAGTGGTTCCTTACCAGTATTTTTGGTGAAGAAAACAATGGAGAATAGATCGGGTCACACTGTTCGTCGCCTTACTCCAGTTGAAGAAAACAATGGAGAATAGAAAACAATGGTTCATTTGCCATTCGTCATCGCTGGTTCGTCACCTTACTACAGTTGAAGAAGAAGGCCCATCTCATGAATGAAGAAAACTTGAATTTTCTCGAGTTTTTCCACCGGGGTCGTACTGTTTTAGTGCGATCCCAATTCCACGATTTTGGGATCTCGCATCCCACATTTTTCTCATCCCATCCCTCTATTTCCCTCAAAACAAATAAGAAATAAAAAGAATATTTTTAAAATATTCCCTTTTCTCATCTCCATCCCACAAACCAAACGGAACCTAAATTTACAAAAAGGGAAGGGCTAACCATGTATTGCATGCGTTAAGTGTAACCCTTGTTTTCCTCTTATTTACCAAAAAAAACCAATACATGCTCAAAAAATTGTCTTATATGGGAAAAACTAAAAGTAAATGTTAGTTTCCTATAATTAGTGAAAAATATTTTTCCCAAAAACATTGTAAATACAACCAAAATAAATATAGAGGAGAATACTCGATTTCTTCACAAGAAATTTCTATCAATTTATATGTGTCCATATATTTTATATTAAGACATGATCGGATCATATCACAAACAACGCATGCAGTAGTATATACTATTATTTTTTCACCCTCTGAACGTGAAAATTACACGACAAGGGGAAGCTGGGGGACCGCTTGTTAACTGTTGAGTGGCCATGTTCTTTTCTTCAGACCAACAATCAACATGCTTTAATTTAAAGCAATAAGTCCTTTAAAAATTTAACCCCATATCTTCCCTTCAAAGCCTCACCAGCCAACCCTCACCCTTCTCTCCCCATTTATCTGTATAGATACTGCAGATTCCAGAGACCTACCCGTCTTACTCATCCAAATTAGAAAAAAAAAACCAACACAATACATCTCTTCATTGCTTCTCTTCTGTAAAACTATTTATAGAATTACAGTTATAGAGAGGAGAGACAATCACTGATACGAGATCATACGATGGGAATTCTAGTGCAACCACTTGCTATTCTACTCATCTCCCTCTTCGTTGTCTTCCTTCCCAAAACATGTGCAAAATTTGTGATTGAACCATGTAAGTCCTCTGACTCCTGTACCTCTCTACTCTCCTATCTCCTCCCTTGGGACTCCAAGCTCTCAGAGATTGCATCTAGGTTCCAAGTAAATGTACTTGACATCTTAGGCTCAAACTCGCTTGACCCAACAATGGCATTCCCTGAGAACCGAATCCTCCCCAAAAGTTCTCTCATCAGAATACCCATTTCGTGCTCCTGCGTAGATGGCATCCGTCGTTTTGTATTGACATCTTATACAGTTCGAGCTGCAGACACAATTGAGTCTATATCGATTGGTTATGGTGGGCTGGCCAGTGCAGAGCAGATCAGGAGCTTTAATGGGGTTGATGGCCAGGGACGACTGTGGAGTAGTCAGAGCCTTGTAATTCCGTTGCCGTGCACATGCTTCAATAACACTAGTAATGGCATTACGGCAATTTACTTGTCATATTTAGTGCACATAGGGGAAAACTTAAACAGCATCGGAGCGACGTATGATACGACTGTAGCAGAGTTGGTGACCGTTAATGGCCTGTCACAAGCGGTAGTTGATCCAGGAGATATTGTAGCAGTTCCGATTCCAGGTTAGTATAATTAACCGTACCACTTAAATTCTTCATCTTACTTCTCTACAGCTCACAATTGGTAGTATTGTTTCATTATTTGGGCTTTTGCATCATTAAGCTTTGTAAATTATCTGAGGAATTTCCATCTAACCCAAAACAATGAGTTGAGTTACTGAGTTGTAGCTCTTCGGAACTTCGGATGGTCAATTTCACCTAAATTTCCAACTAGAAACTCAACTGGTAGTTGGCTAGATGCCTAGAAATTATAGTGCTGGGCCCAGAGACTAATGTTTTTAAATGGGTACTGGTACTGGTACTGGACCAGCCTAGCTGGACTTGTTTGAGTTGCTTCTGACTTCTGAGAATGTTTGGCAATCATAGACCTGAATAATGGCCTATTTTGGGCCCATTAAGTAAGGGAGCAATTCCGAAAAGGTAAAGGCCTGAAAAGCGAAAACCCAACAAATTGTTGAATTGACAAGAAATATAGAGTATCTGATAGAGTGTGGTCTCATCTCAAGGGAAAACTTCGGTCATCTCTAAGTAGTTTCTTTAATCAACCTAGATCTGAATTCGAAGAAGATAATCTAGTTTGGGAAGTGAAGCCCAAAGGAGGATCCACAGAAAAATGTGGTTATGCAAGCTTGAGTAGAGATGCGATCCTGGACTTAGACCATTTTAGAATACTAAAGAAAACCATTTTTCCTGTGGGTTCGTCAGATGGACAAATTGCCAACTAGGACAAATCTGGTCCATAAAGGCATGAGCATATATCCTGGCTGTCCATTTGGTCGTGACGAGGACACAAATCACATTTTCATTAGAAGCACGTTGGCGAAGCAAACTTGGATGATTGTGGAGGCCCAGATTCCAAGCCCAACATTGGACATGAATAAATGTCTTAGAAATTGGTGTGTTGGAATGGTTGTGGAGAATATAGTAAAGAGATTTTATTGGTTTTAAGAGAAAACAAGCTTCCTTCTATGGCTCTTGTAGAGTGTAGACAAATCAAAATAAACTTTGATTAGTCCATGAAGATGGATGAGAAATGTGCCTATGGATGCAACGCAAGTAACCATAAAGGAGAGATTCTAGGGGCAATTGCTGCTCCACTTTGAACATCGACTATCAAACAGCTGAAATATGGGCTGCTCTGAAGGCCCATGAGCTTGCTCAACGGCTTAACTGTAATGAAGTTTGCAAGGAAGGAGACCATGACCACCCTAGATGTTGAGAAGCGGACTGGGATTTTGGCCTGACCCACGAGGAAAGAAGGGAAGTGAGGGGTCTTCTCACCACATAGCTCACATGTACCTCCTCTTTCCTTTTTTCATATGTACATATTTTTTTAAATTAAATCATTAAAAATAATTATATATAATAAATCAAAATTAAATTAAAATGGGTCTTTATATCTCTAGGGGTGTTCATGGGTCGGGTTGGGTCGGTTGGAGTCATTTTCTTCAACCGACCCGACCTATCCAGTTTACTTATTGACTAAACCGAAACCGGCCGACCTTGAAGCAAAACTGACCCAAACATGAAGGGTCAGTTTATATATATATTAAACTAAAATATCTATTTATATTTAAATTTATTTCTTTTTAATTTTTATGCAAAATCAAAATATATATTTAAATTGATTAGTTTTTTTATGCAAAACTGATTTTTTTGTCAATATATATTTAAATTTATACAAAAATGAATTAAATATTGTACCATTGTATTATATTTGTATTGGTTTTACGTTTTACATTTTTATCATAAATAACCAATTGTTTTCGAAGTTCAAACAAACACAAGTAAAATATATCAACCTTTTAACATATAGGGTAGGGACTAATTAATAATTACTTAAATAGTAAAACATATAGGATCGGTTTGGTTCGGTTTGGTTTTGGTTTTCATGTATGAACTGAAACCGAACTGAGTTGTCCATTTGTTTTTTCATACAAACCGAAACCGACCGATGGTTTTAAAAAATCAAACAACTCGGGTTGGGTGGGGCCGGTTTGGTTGGTTTGACATTTAATGTGAACACCCCTAATTATCTCTCATAAAATCCATATTTACTATCTAACAAGATCATTCCTAAATCTCTCTCTCTCTCTCTCACACACACACACACAATTAAATCCCTCTTTTCCTCTTAAATCTCTTGATCCCTTTTGGCTCTATCTAATAAAGTAGGGGTGTAAATTAAATGGATTGTGTTAGGTTAAGGGCCAACTTTAAATATGAACCCTAGGCTTGGACCCAAATTAATGTCAAAATTTAAATTTGCCCACCTAATACTTGGGGTGAACCAATCTTCTTCTTCTATATAAGTTTAAAGAAACCATTGCTCCTTTTCATGGGTTATGAAGTTCTTCTCTCTTTTTTTATTGGATTAATATAGATTTGTTTCATGGAGTCTAATTCAATAATAAAATGTAGTAAGAAAGCACTTAACATGAGAAAATGCTCATTATAGGGGTGTCAATTGGACTGGATTTGGTCCAACCCGGTCCAATCCAATGTGAATCCATTACAAATGGATCTGGTCCAATCCAGTCCAATGAATATTTTGGACCGGTCCAAAGACTGTTCAATTTGTTCAAATTCCTTTTAATTTATATTGGTTTCAACTCAAACCTGGTCCGTTGACAACTATGTTCTTATCTTCTATCAATGGACCAGATATTGGCTCAATCCAATATAAATTCATTATGGACGGACCGGGTCCAATCCAATATGTCATATTGGTCCGTCTAGTCTGTCCAAATTCAATATGTCTTATTGGTCCGTCCAATCCGTCCAAATGGATTTTGATTTGGACATAGTCCAACCCAAAACCAGTCCATTGATACCCCTACATTATAAGGCTAACCAAATGCTCATTTGGTTATCTTTGTGAGTTCAATTTTAAAATTTGTTTTCTAACTTGGTTATTGATCTCATGCTAAGCATAACACTTTTAGCTTTATAGGGCTATAGAAGTGAATGAGCCTACCAAGTAAGCTACCATCAATTGGTTTATTTACTTTTCATAATATATAAGCTATATAAAAAGGAATAAATTTGAAGCTCAATAACTAAAAAAGAAAAGAAAACTATTACAACAGCTCATATGAACTTCCTTCTCTCATTTCTCACAAATGTGGTTATTTATTTTTAAATTAAATTATTAAAATATAAAAAATTAAAATAAAACTCTCTTGAGTCTCAATTGTCTTTGCTAAGGTCGATCATTACTCTGTCCAATAAGATCATTCTTAAAACTCTCTCTCTCAGTCTCATGCATATGCATGCACACACGCACACATACACACATAGACAAAATTCTCAATCCCTTTTGCTCTCAATAAATTAGATGGATTGAGTTAGGTAGAGGGCCGGTCCATGACCAACTATAAAATATAGACCTTATCCTAAACCCAAATTGATGCAAAAAACCTTAATTTGCCAATCAAAACCTAATTTGTGCCCAACTCTAAATATGGACCTTAGCCTCAACCAAAATTGATAATGAAAACATAAATTTTCAACCAAAACCTAACCTTTTTCCCAACTCTAAGGTGGCATTTAATAAATCTGAAATCTGAAAAGTTAAAAAGATATTAAAAGTGTCTAAAATCTAAAAAGAGACATAGTTGCTTTTTGACTTTTTAGAGGCTCTGAATAAAGAATGTTGTTTGTGTTGGATCAAACCTTCAGCATCCGAAATTCATTGATTTTACTATTTTACACCTAAACTAGGCTATTTGGTAATTTTGATTTCAATTTGCATTGTTTTATAAAAAAAATTATTAAATTCAAAATAATATTAAAAAATATGAGTAAATTATAAAAATAAAAAAAAATAATTTATTAAAATAAGAATAAAATTGAAAAATACATATCAACTTATAAATTAAAAATAAATTATTATGAGTTAAAATAATAATGAAAATACTAATAAAGACCATAAAGCAATAAAAAAATTAATAATTATCAAATTAATATCTTAAAACTATTAAAATATTTAATGATTAATAAAAAATAAAATAATTAATAATTAATGCAAATATAATTTATAAAAAATAAAAAACTTATTAAAATAAGATTAAAATTGGAAAGAACCACCGATGTTGTTGAGAGTTGCAGCGATGGTGGCGGGAAGATAGGAGAGAGAGAGAGAGGGAGAAAAAATGGGGTAGGGGTATTTTTGACTTTAGGCCATGTCTGAAACGCATCTGAGCGCATTAAGTGACAGGCTTGGGTCTTACAATTTCAGATCTCAAAAACCTTTTCAAATCATATTTTAGATGCAACACCAAATAAGCATTGCATCTGAAAAGCAAATATTTTAGACTTTAGATGTCTGAAAAGTGTTACAAAATGCCACCTAAATACAAACTTTAACCTAAACCAAAGTTGACAAAAAACTAAATTTGTCAACCAAAACCTAACTTTTTCCCAACCCTAAATATGGATCTTAGCCTAAACCCAAATTGACGAAACAAACCTAAATTTGTTAACCAAAACCCAACTTCTGCCTTGTTCTAAATATGGACCTTAGCTTAAACCCAAGTTGATGCCAAAAACCTAAATTTTCCAACCAAAACCTAACTTCTATAATGCCAAAAACCCTCTCATTTTTCAAACATGTGGTTATCTATTTAGTTAAACTATAAAAAATGTAAGTTACAAAAAACCCTCTTGAGTCTTAATTTTTTCTAATAAAATCCATCATTACTCTCTAATAAAATAATTCTTAACCCCTTCCCCTGATAGTTAATGTTTGTAACATCCCCCCCCCCCATTAAATCCCTTGTTTCCTTTTAAATCTCCATTGACCCCATTTGACTCTCTTAATAAAACAGGGGTACAAAACATATGGGTTTGGATTAGGTTAAGAGCTAACTCGACCTTAATCTAGAATTGAGCCTGGACCCAAATTGATATCAAAACCAAAATTGCCAACCCAAACCTAACTACTCTTCAACCCATGCATTTTCATGGATTTACTTGCTAGTCTATACCACACACACACACACACACACACACACACACACACACACATGTACTAGTAAGTGTGCATGTGCTTTGCATGTGGCATTTGTAGATGATGATGATGATGATGATAGTGGTGGTGGTGATAATAATAATAATAATAATAATAATAATAATAATAATAATAATAATAATAATAAATCCAAAATTTTCTATAAACTTTATGTATTTTTATATTTTGTTTTTAATGATTAATTGGATGTAGGTTGTCAAATCCAAATTTGATTATATAAACACCTCATCTAAATATGTGATAATCAGATAGAGTTGTGGGGTTTCAAGTATTATTGACAAGTCTGCCTACTTGGCTGGACTCTTCCTTTTGTAATGTTTTATCTTTTTGGTGATTTGAATAGAGGGAATTGAATGAAGTGAAAAGTAGTAGTTCAATTTACAATTTAAACCTCACAATTAAATGGGGATTAAATTCAAAAAATTAATATTTTAGTCGAAAGAAAGTTCCATAATCTTATTCATATTTTTAATAGTAGTGTAAATATCAATTTTTTAATTTTTTTATTTGTGTGTAAAAATAATTTTGATATGCCACAATTACTTTTTATTTAATATGATAAACATATGACATTATACATGTGCCTAAATGTTTTTTTTTTTTGCAAAATCTATCTATTTTTCATTTTTTTATTTTATTATTTTTAATTACTTATTTATGACATTAAATATTAACACATTTGACCCAAAAGTTGAATTATTTATCTTTGCCACATAGTAAAATAATTTCATTTTTTGTAAGTTCTAAATTATGTATATCATTTTCATCATCAATAAAAATAATTATTGTTTATTACACTTTTTTTAATTTGATTAATAAAAATATCATAAATGTGTCTAATTTTTTCTACATTTTTTAATTTTCTATATTTGTTTCTATTTTAAAAATTTTATTACCTAATTATGACTTCATAGGTTGATCAATTTGATTTGGATGGTTGAATTGTTTAACCACCACTTGGATAAACAATGGTTTTGTTTTTAAGTCAATTTTAAACATACAGGTTTATATTATTAAAAATATTGACATAGATCTAATTAGTAACATTTATTAGTAAAAAATAACTTAAATATAGGATTTAATAAGAGAAAATGGTAGTTAATGCCTTAAGTATAAGAGTTAATGAGAGGAGATTAAATGAGGTGGAAAGTAATAATTGAACTTACACTTCCACCCGAGATAGACTAAATACACAAATATGAGCATTTTAGTTGTCATTAAAGCTAACATTAAAACTATAATAAAATAACTTTTATATCCTTTCTTAGACAAAAAAAAAGTGTGTGTGTGTGTGTTAGGGGTGAGCAAAAAAATTGAAAAACCAAACTGACAGAAACCGAACCGAAAAATTGGTTAATTGAACTAGTCGGTTCGGAGTTTTTAAAAAACTGAAGGTATTGGTTCGGTTTCGGTTAACCAATATAAAAAAAACCGGCGATTAACCGAACCGACCAGTATACATGTTTTTCTATATATTTATGTATATTATATATATTTTATACATTATAAATTAATAAATATGCATTATATATAAATATATATTTATAATATATTATATTATTTATTATTTAAAATATAATATTATATATATATAATATTTTTTATTATATATTTATATATATTTTTATAATATATATTATAAAAACTAAAAAACTGAAAAACTTGTGAACTGAACCGATGGTTAACCGAACCGATCAATTGATTAACCAACTGGTTTCAGTTTGGTTCCAGTTACCAGTTTTCAAAAAATCGGTACTACCGGTTCGGTTCAAAAAAAGGACCACGGTTCGGTTACCCGGTACGTGAGCAGTGAGCACCCCTAGTGTGTGTGTGTGTGTATAGTCCACATCATCATGTATTTCCATTTTCCAAACCCCCTTTATTGATTTCTCCCTAACTCTCTCTCTCTCTCTCTCTCTCTCTTTCTCTCTCTCTTCCCTTTTCTATCCCTCTTATTACGCTAAGCCTCCAGGGGGTTTAGCTTATCTTATTAAGCCACATCATCATTTCCTCTCAACAATTCAAATCTTAAGAATCTAAATATTAAAATTCTTCCTAAGATTCCCCCCTCTCTCTCAAGTCATATCCTAAACTATCTCTCGCACCTAAAGTATCTCCTAGTCTATCTCACATGCCCACTAAACCATCTACTTCTAATGCTTCTTTCCCTCCCCATTTCTCTCTCTCTATTTCTCTCTATCTCTCTCAGCATTCCAAATGCATGCATTTAATTTTTTATCAATGTATTGAAATACTAATGTTTAACTCGAAACTTAAATATTGAAATAAGATTTTAATATTGACATTATAAAATAAATAATACAATAAGACAAATAATAAAAGTAAAGTAATATTTTTTAATAATTAATTAAAAATCTTATTATAATTGTAAATAATATTTTAATATTGACATTATAAAATCTATCTCTCTCCATGGGACATTTTGGGCCCCACACATCACTATTTGTATTGATGCTGAAATTTAGTGAACACTATAGCAAAAGGATGGGCCAAGAAAATATAAATTTTTACTTACCAATTTGAACATATCTTGATTGACCCAGTTTGGTCTACCAAATCTACTATCTAAATTTGTAGAAAATATGTCTTGAAAATAAATATTAGAAGCACTATTAATTAACATGTTTTTATTAAAATATTAATTAAATATTGAATAAAATATTTTTCTATTATATTTTCAAAAATATTATGTTAAAATTTGACATTATTTATCTATAATTTATGTACAAATTTCATTGCTATATTTCTAAAAATATTTTTCTGTGAACATGAATTGTTCCTTTGTCTTATAGCCCCATTGCAACGAACTTAAGTTGTGAAAGAATTGAGTGGTAGATCAAATAGCTATGAATCAAGAAGACATGGGTTGGGTTATTTGAATACAAAACCATCTAACCTACTAGCTTCAAGTGCCAGTTCATATTAAAATGGACTGATCTGGTTTGATTGGTTTAACTTGGTTATGCAATTTTGAAAATAAAAAGAGCAAATATGGGGAATTTTCACTAAAATTAATTTTATTAGTTAGAAAATATCAGAAAAGTAAGGGAAGATAAAAGAAAAAAATATTACCAATTTTGTAAAAAACAATAAAATAAGAAGATAACAAAAAAATTAGAAACTTATTTTTTAGTTAATTCATAAAATATTTACTAAAAATAACGGAATATATATATATATGAAAGTAATATTTATTGAGAAAATATTGAAAATCAGAAAGTAACATAAAAATATAAATAAAGAGAAATTAAAAATCTGAAACTTACTTTACATGATTAACTTTTTAATTAAAATAAATTTAATAATTTAGTTTTATCAACTTACTCTAAAATTAGTAAAATTAATTTTATAAAAAATTAAATTTAAATAATTAATAAAAATAACATATTAACAAACAATTAAAAATTGTTAACAAACTTAGCAAAAATTATTTTATTAGTTAAAAGTGATACAAATTAATAAAAACATAATTTAAATAGAATCAATGCAAATTTATTTTTCCATTTAACTTAATAAAAGTGTAACTCTCCCTCTCCCTAATCCCTTGTAGATTTTTGTTTATTTTTTAAAATTTATTAGACAATACATAACCCAAGAATAATGCTAAGATAGATAGGTTTCAGCTTTTGGCTAAATTGGAAATGTCCAACAAAGCCTGTGCATTGCATTTAAGAGTAATAAAACTAATAAAATGTAATAAAACAATACAATAAAAATTAAAAGAAATAATAAAATTAACACAACTTTATCTAACAACATGTGACCCAGAAAAAAATATCTAACAACGCATAACGCAAAAATAATTTGGGTTAGACTTGGTACCATTTGGCCCAGTTGATGTTGTCATAAGTCTCCTACTACAAGTTCTTTTAGCAACTATGCACGGGCTAGACTAGAGTGGTAAGCTCTACTCATACCATAAATCCGACCCTTCTTGACATTTTCTATGACAGCAACAAAATCAAATTCCTATTCATAAATTAATTTGCAATTTCCTTCCATGGATGCAGCCTGTTCATCTGCTAACCTGAATTGGCACAATGAAAGTTTGATAGTTCCAAACGGTAGCTATGCCCTAACTGCAAACAATTGCATCAAATGCAATTGTGGTCCAAACAATCTCGAGTAAGTCCTCAATCCTGTTACTATATATTATATATTATACTTTCTCCAACTGACTATTGTGGTCCAAACTCAAATGTTTCATTTGAGTTTCTCCAACTGACTATTGGTTGATAATTAATTATGTATTATACTTTCTCAGCTTAACCTGTTCCCCATCCTTTGTTGGGTCCTCTTGCTCTCATCTGCAATGCAAAGGGACAGAGTTCTATGTAGGTGACATCCATGAGGAGAAAACAACAACAGGTTGCAATGTCACTAAGTGCTTATATCGTGGCCACTTAGGCCAGAAGATTTTCAAAAGGTAGCTTTGCCACTTTCAGTGTTAGACGAGTTTACTTATGTATGTAGAGAACATTTAAAAAGTGAACTTAGTATCTCAGATAATGCTTTTTTTTTTTTTTCTTTAGGCTCCATTTGGAAGGAATACAAATACAAATACGTAGAGCACAAAATCTTGTATTTTGCATGTATTTATATAGAGTGCAAAACCTTATATTTTGTATTACTTTTCATGTATTTGCAGTATACATATTTGTATTTAGTCTTTATTCTTTAATCTCTATCTGTTTGGTTGATATTGCAGTTTAGTGAGTTCTTCTCAGATGCAATGCTCAGGTAATAAATTTCATCAATGATTCCAAATAGAATATTTCATTCTAGTCATCAATCGTTCAGGATATATAGCTGACATTTTCTAGTTATACTAATTATAATAATGCAGGTAACCAAAGTAATTATACTTCGGCATCGCCTACATCATTTGGTTCTGTTATCCCGTTAACAAGTTTGTCTCCATCTCCCTCTCCCTCTGAGGCTCCACCACAAACTTCTGTTTTTAATGGCTCTGCTCCAGTTGTCACATTGGCTCCGACAGATCCTAGTAATGGCGGACATGGGGTTATTTCATTTTGGGGTTTATCGTGGTTTCAGATTATATTTCTTTCGGCAATTCTTTTTTATTTTCTGGAGCCTGGAACCATAACCTGCTAACTACATTGTCTTGGACTCTTGGGTTATTGATGTTTATACGGTCATCTACATAAGAAGATGCATAGCTAACTTAATTGCTGGTAAATAGACATTTGTGTTCTGGAAAGGCGGGGTTTGGGGGTGGGGATGACAACCCCTAAACAAGGCAGCCGAGTTTGAGAGATTATAGTATTGGGGATGCTTCATATAAAGCTGAAATTGCAGGAATATTAGAGAGGTAGACGTAGACTGACGAAATGTCACAGAGGAAGCTTGTTACTGCCTTTACCTAGCAAATTGGAAGGCAAAGAATGAACCTAAACCGGGTGCCAACTGATTATCTGATTCTTTGAAGTCGAATGCAATCTTCTTTTGTCCTGTCAATTAGTTCAATGACTTGAATTAATGGTCCACCTTTTTTTAGTAATCATGGAATATAATTCATCGATCAGACCAGAATGAACGGGAGTTGAACATTACCAACTGGGGTTAATACAAAAAATACTTAATTAATATCGGGATTAATACGAGCAATACTCTCAGCAACCTCTTTAATTACTAGACAACAACCAAAACGGCGGATAACCCATCCATCAGCCAGAACTGCAACCAGAGCTCGGTAAGAAATGAGTAATAGAGTTTTCAGACCTGTTTTGACGTGAGCCCACACAACTACGGAGCAGATTTTGCACAGTTATTGTTTATTGAGTTGATTTTGCAGAGTTCTCAATGGGTGGCCAATCTCAAACCTAATTAAAAGGACCGCTTAAGCTAGCTTCAGAAAACACTGCCGGACATGGGACATCTCTCTGAGGGGGGGNGGAGAGAGAGAGAGAGAGAGAGCTGCTACAAAACCCTGTTGAGAGTCACGAATGAAAACACCATAACCAGCAGAATATATGTCGGCAAAACATGAGTTGGGGATATGAGGGGGCAGGAGGCAATCGGGCTCCTCCATTTCGGCAATAACGTTGTTAGCTTAACATACAGTACGATTTATCACGTACGTAAGCCGAGGGAGTTCGGCTTCAGTCGGGGCAAAGCCCGAGCAGCCTTTACTGCCTTGCATAGCCTTCCAAGACCAAGAGAAAATAAAGGTATTGCATCATAGCGAACCAGGCCCCAGATTGGATAGCTCGTGAAGTTCAGATTGCTACTTCAATTGGGAGTTTTTATCTTTTAACTTTTCTTTTTTCCTTCTCTTCTTTTTATTTGTTTTGCTGAGAACGCACTATCCTGTTTGTTGTAGTGTTCTCTGGTTTTATTCAAAAACTCACAATGCTCCAGTATTTGCGTCAAGAATGGTCCAACCTTTCTTCAATCAATGAATCCTGTTAGTTTCTTTCTTGGTTTTTCCTTTATTTTGCCAATTGAATCTGTTCTAGTTCTTTTTTCCTCACCCTTATTATTATATTTACCATTTATGGTAGATAACTAAGTAGACTGCAAAATGGTATGACTTTATATTTGAAGTCCAATCCAATTAAGGTGTTTTGAATTCAACATATATTTATAATTGGATCAAGTTGGGATCCATCCCAATCTGATCTAATATGATATGAATATGACAGTATTTATTAATGAATTAAATTAGTTTTTATGTTGTATTTACATGTTCAGGTCTAGTAGAAGCTTTTTTTTTTTATATAGTTTTGTTCATGAGATATGATATTAAATTTATTTCTACTCATTTTATTAATTTTAATTTAATCTATTAATGATATGCAATTACCAGATCACATCTATATGAATCTGACGAATAAATTAAATTTCAATTAATTCAAACATTTTGTGGTAGAAAATTTTCAGTACAAATTTAATGGATGAAATTAATTTGGATATAGGGATGTCTAATTCAATCTCATCTAGTTTCACCCTTAGATTAGAGATCAGATTTATCATTTCATGGAAAGAGAATGATAATGATTGCTTAGCAATAGCAAGGATATTATGATATATTCATAGAAGGAATTCATGGTTCACACCCCAAACCTGAAATGCCCGGACCATCTGATTGGCAAATTTTTGGGCCCGAACCAGGGCTTGAAATATGTAGGTTGGGCCTGGGCCCAATACTTAGTGGAGGAATTTCTGGTGTTTTTGAAGCCAAAGGCGAATTCATTGCATCAAATCTGCATCTCGTCCAATACAAGAAACCTGACAAAATCAGAAGGAGATGACCAGGTCATTGATTTTTTATGCCTGAAGGCTTAGCTGGCTAGCTCGTGAGAAACCTATTACAGGAGCGAGATGTGAAAAGGAAGCTTGGCGAAGAGAACAGAGAACTCATCAGGAGCCTGCGTTCAAGAATAACAATAGCATGTAGCCTCCAAGGTGGATCTGTGTTTGAAGAAAGGAAAGCTTCAGCCTGTTCAGGAGAGGAGCAACTTAGGCTTAGAGCCCTCCCAAGGATGAAAGATCCACTGTGGTCCCTAATGGCTAAACCAATACCAGAATGAGTCAGGCACCACGCCCCATCAATGTTGATTTTGATAATGTTAAAAGGAGGCCTAAGCCAATGAGGCTGCAGAGGGGAGGTGATTGTATTTACAATTTCTCCACAGTGCCTTAAAATCCCAGTTATATGAGCACTAATGGTGTAAATGGTTTCTCAGACGCCAGAATTAAAGAAAAAAATAGTGTGCTTCAATGAAGCATTTCATTAATTATTTATAGTATTTAAGCCAGGTGGCTTATAGTTACAACTGTCAAGTGGTTCAAACAATTCGGCTTTTGAAGATGGTAGGGTGGGACATATGTAGTCTTATTGGAAACGTTTAGGAACTCTAGTGATCCTGGTGGGCCGAGAATGTGTTTGAGATAATGTTGGGAATTAGAAAACCATTCCTTGATCTGATTTGGCTGTAATGGTTCAGATGAACTAAATTCATTGGTTGTGCCAATGCCAGGGTCAGTTGTGGGTTGGGTGGGTATGGATATGGAATTAGTGGGTCAAATGTCATCCCACAAAACGGGGCTAGAATCAGGTGGGGTTGTCATATTGGGTGTGTTTGGGTCAAGTGGCCTATATTCCTCAAGAAACGGGAATTCATGCTCATAAAATTGAACATCTCAGGATGCAAACGCCTATTTAGTTTTTAGGTTATAAATTCAAAACCCTTTCTGACCATGTGGGCATCTAAGAAATATGCATTTGATTGCTCATGGGGAAAATTTGTCATAAATGCTACCACGAATTCGAACATAACACAAACACCCAAAAACCCATAAATGGCCATAATGAGAAGATTTGCCAAACAACACTTCATATGGAGATTTACCAATAGTAATGGAGTAGACATGTAGTTGATTAAATAACCTCAGAGCGCGTGCTACTTACCCAATTCTGTTGGGGTGTGTCAACACAAGTTTTCTGATGTTCGATCCCATGTGCAGCATAAAATGACCCCATTCTTCCAGAACAAAATTCCAGTCTGTTATTTGATCGATACATCGAGCTGACGTCTAAAATTGAGTTTGAACATAAATACAAAATTGTTGAAGATAAGATAAGGCCTCTGATTTATGTTTAAGCAAAAACACCCAGGTTGCCACCCCCAAAATGTCACAATGTATAGTAGCAAAACAAGTGTTGGACTTAGCTTGCTTGACAGGAAATGGTAATCGTGTCAACATAGCTTTATTGCATGCATCACTACAAGCTGAATTTGAAGACTTAACTTGCAGCTCAGGAATGAGGGAATTTTAACGTGATTTCATCCCTAAAACCTATCTTAACCATCAAGACACCTTCCACATTCTAATAATAAATGAAATAAATTATCTTTTATTAAAATTAATTCTTATATTTAATCTAAACAAATAGTATATTCAATAACTCCAAGTACAAATTAATAAGAATAATATTCAAAATTATTATTTTATAAACCAATAAAATAAATAATTTATCAAACCCACATATATATAAATGATTTTTAATTTCAATAAATTTATACAAATAAAAATATTATTAATAGAATAACTATTTTAATACTTAGAATTATTTATGTAGACTTGATAAATTATAATAATTATTTTATAAATTATTAATTAATATTTTAATTTGCATTAAATAACAATATATTTATTATTACAAAGATAAAACATTGTTTACAAAATATTTGAGAATATAATATAAATTGAATCTATCAAATCCACTAATCTACATTTAAATAAAAATGAAATTTTTATTTTAAAAATTCATAAAAATAAAAATATTAGTAATGAATAATTATTTTAGTAATTAATATATTTATGAATTTTCAAATGATATGCATCTTCAAAATTTCATTTAAATTTTATATAAACATATTTATTGTTTACAAAAGTGAAAGTGTTATTTACTGAACACTTGCAAATTAATTTTTTGATTTTTTTTATTGGTTAAAAATTGAAAATAGTAAATAAAAATAATTGATATAATAATGCAAGTATAATGGTTGCATATTTTTTGTGCCTTGGATTTTAATAAAATTGTATAACATCTATGCATCCCGTTATATCAATAGTGATATATTTCTTCAGATATACCATTAAAATATACAATTCCTATGTATTTATACATTATTTATAGTTCTTTTGACATTAAATTTGAAGGTATTAATATAATTATTGAATTTATATGCATTTCCTTAGTGTATCCTAGAATTTTTCATATTTTTTGTCCATATCAATGTATTTTCCAAGTGTATCAATATCCACATCCAACTTGTTTGATACGATACTTGATAGTGATACTTTAATCCTTGAATGTGAAAGGCTGATGGAGAATCAAGGAGAGCATGTATAGACCATTGCGAAACTTACCCACTTCAATTAGCTTCTTGTGGGTCAGGTCCTGTATGACACAAAAGGTGGAAAGAGGAGCACCGCACCAAGGATTAAAGTATCGGTATCAAGTATCGTATCAGATAACTCGGATACAGATATACTTTGGAAATGCATGGATATAGAACCCGGCAGCCCCAAGCGAAACATGAAAATACTTGGATGCTCTAGGAAAATGAATATTAATTTCATAAATATATTTCTAACAATATGTTTAATGTCAAAATAGCAACAAATAATGTATAAATACATAAGAATTGTATATTTGATGGTATATACGAAGAAATATATTACAATTAATATAGCGGAATGCGTAGATATCATACAATTTTTTTTATATGCATCAATCAAGATCCCAAGAGACATATTATATAGATTTTTACAAATTAATATATAAATAAAGCCAATATTATCTTATTTTATATTAAAGTTCAAGGCACAAAACATATGTAACTATTATATTTCAATTATTATATAAATTTTTTTCTATTTTACTAATAATTTTTAGCTTTAACAAAAATGTCAACTAAAAATTAATTCTCAAAATTTTGGTAAGC